ATGAAATGATTGTAAATAACAATTACCTTCGTTGTTTATCAATTTTACTGTTTACAGTTTTCTCTATCAACATTTTTTTTTCTGACTTCAGGATGATATATAAAATCATGAGAAGATAACAAAAAAATCCTCATTAAAGGCAATAATTTTAATAAAAAGGTAAATGTAAGTTTCCATCATTTTTGTTCATTTCAATGTCTTTCTATCAATTATTAGTTTCAAAATATTATATCCTGTTTTGCTGATTTTTTTTACTGTGTTTATTTTCTAGAGTTCTCATGATAATCAGTAAAACATATCATCATTTAACTTCTAGAGTTCTCATGATATTCAGTAAAACATATCATCATTTAACTTCTAGTCAATTCATGGTTTCAATCGATTGTCATTTTTATGGATCTTATATTGCATAACATTTTTGTTTTTCTTCAATTTCTATCTTTCTTATGCATTTTTCGCTGAACTATTAAACATTATTGTCTAGGGGTTAGCTGAAGCCCGCCTCCTGGTGCGTGATTTTCTCACTGCATTGAAGACTCATTGGTGGCCTTGAGCTTTTTTCTACTTTTTTCTGCTCTTTGATTGGGTTGTTGTCTTTTTGACACATTTCCCATTTCCATTCTCAATTCTATTCAAATGCTAAAATTGGTAAACTACAAACTCCTAAGAGCATGAATTGCTAACCTGGCAAAATTATGCCATTTCAATATTGATTTTCAAATTTGAGTCATTTTGTGACAATATTTTTTTACAGTATAATTAATATTCAAAATATACAGCTTTTTTCAGAGCATTCAAGAAAAATCAAAACACTTAATTCTATTTTCATTGCCACGTTTTACATTATTTATTTTCACAAAAATTAGGATATTAAAATATTTCACAAATCTTCCAAGCAACCCATCCCCTCCCCCCACCCCCTTCCCCTTCTGAAGTCAAATGGCACTCGAAATAGCAGTTATCATAAAATGGAAGTTTATGAACTAAATGTATTTCACAAATTATAATCAAGACAATTTTGTTCAGGGTTCAACATTCATGTTTGTTCTGTTGCCTTTCATGCCTTTGGTAAGTGAATTTGGATTTTATGATCCAATTTTTTACACACAATGTAAAGTAGGAAAAATTCGTAAGGGTTCCGCGGAACCCAGTGTCTCGCCTACTTTTTCTGTTAATCGCAGACTCAACAAAAATGAGGAAGTAAATCAATAAAAATATTACTCTTGATACTATCTTTTGATTGTAAGAAGCTTCTGTCTAAGTTTGGTAAAATTCCAGGATAGTTTATGATATAAAATAACTGTTTAAAAACTTTAACTGCAGACTGAATGTAATGTTAACTGGAAGAAAACAAAATTTCCTTCTAGATACTAGCATTTGATCATAAACAAGCTTCTGTCCAAGTTTGGTACAAATCCAAAATAGTATAAGAAAGTTATCAAAATTTTAAAAACTTTAACCACAGAGTGAATATGTTGTTTCCTGGCAGAAAATCTAAGTCCATTTAAAAGTAAAATACGGAAAAAATGGATTTATTTTTTTACCAAATTTCCTTCTAGATACTAGCTTTTAATCATAAACAAGCTTCTGTCCAAGTTTGGTACAAATCCAAAATAGTATAAGAAAGTTATTAAAATTTTAAAAACTTTAACCACAGAGTGAATGTGTTGTTTCCTGGCAGAAAATCTAAGTTCATTTAAAAGTAAAATAAGGAAAAAATGGATTTATTTTTTTACAAAATTTACTTCTAGATACTATCTTTATAATATGATCATAAACAAGCTTCTGTCCAAGTTTGGTACAAACCCAGGATAGTTTAAGAAAGTAATTAAAATTTTAAAAACTTTAACCACAGAGTGAATGTAATATTTACCGACAGAAAAACTAAGTCCATTTATAAGTAAAATACGGAAAAAATGGAATTTTATTTTTACAAAATTTACTTCTGGATACTATCTTATGATCATAAACAAGCTTCTGTCCAAGTTTGGTAGAAATCCAGGATAGTTTAAGAAAGTTATTAAAATTTCAAAAACTTTAACCACAGAGTGAATATTTGTGGACGCCGCCGACGACAACGACGCAGACGGAATGTAGGATTGCTATGTCTCGCTTTTTCGACTAAAGTCGAAGGCTCGACAAAAATGCTTTGTTTGAAGTGTTTAAAATAGTTTGAACATTACTCTTTGAAATTTTTTATGCACAGTACATTGGTTAAACAGGACCCCAGATAGCTTCAACTGGTTTGAAAGAGTTGTGTAATTTAAGAACTTTTCCGGAATGGAACAAATAGCAATCTATATTACTAAATGAATAGATATAAAATTGGGTGTCGCATTTTCTTCTTTCACATAAAATCCACTAATATTGTTTTTTACCACAAAGGGGTAATGACCAGCATTGTTTATTATGTGTTCTTTTCAAGATCTTTTGGGGGGTATTTGGGGGTTAAAATCGGAAAAAAGCCAGTTCGGATCGACAGTCCTTCACGACATTCGGCTCATAAATTTACGTGCTGTCATCATTTCTGTCATTGCACGTCTGCCCGGCAAAATTTAATTTATTTTCGTAGCAGATACGGTAAATATTGACCTTACACTGAAACGCCTTTTGTGATACACATTCCCTTGACGCTCTCAGCAATTTAACAACAGATTTTTACACGTCAAGAGCTTTTCCTTCCGGGGAACCACATCAATTCAACATGAATAGGGTGGGGGGATTACTTCAGTTTTCGGTTAAAAATGGGTACCGAAGAGCAGCTGGAATGTGACCCATCCCCATTCATATATAAATGCATAAAATTTTCAGCTCACTCATATATGGGGGTGACTCTGAGCACGGAAACACCAGAAATCAGGTGCTGATCCAGGATTTAATGTTAGGTGGGGTGCAAAAATTGTTGTTCTGCGGAACGGAGCATATAGCGAAATATTTTTGGGTAAATTAGCAAACATTTATGTGCCGTCATCATTTCTGCTATGTCTGCAAGTATTACATTTACTATGGTCTGCTCAGCAAAAAGTATACCCTAAAGGGTGGGGGGATTACTTCGTTTTTTTCGGCTGGAATGTGACCCCCCATTCATATATTAATGCATAAAATTTTCAGCCCATTTCATATATCGGGGTGGTTCTGAGCATGAAGTGGTGGTATTTCGTCTGTTACACGCTTCAAAAAGATTTAAGATCTTAATATCGCCTTACACCAAAACTATACATGCTATATATCTTCAAATTATTAACCAAAGAATATTTCGCAGGTATTTTCTAGTAAGGTGTATACAATATAATATGTGTTTATTTCAATTAAGGTCTCTCAGGTGTCAATGACAAAGATAATTTTATAATTCAGTTATACAAACAATACAGTACAAGAATACAATGTCATGAATCTGGGAACAGTATATCAAAATGTAAAATGAATCTGATAGGCTTTTCAGCATAAAATTGATAAAATCCCAAACTTTAGGAGACTTCGCGAGATTTATGGATTTTGGAAGCGTCCGACTAAAAAACTATCAGAACTGCTAAATAAATTAACCACAGAATTCCAAACGTTCAACAAATTCAAGTTTTATCGTAAAGTAGATATATTTTTTCATATACAATGACCAATATAAGTGTGATTTATTTCATGTGAAGTGTTTTATAATGGTTTGTGAAATTCACGGTTACTGGGAATGCCATCGGCGCCATTTTTTTATTACCCCGTTTGCATTCTGTGATGAAATGAATGCGATTAATCATTATGACAAATTTGAAGTGACAGATTACAATTTCGATACACTTGCATCACTAATTACTTAGTTTGAATGACATTTTATTGATATTATCAGAACTTATTAAGATAATAGGGAATACGTATTATACACATATGTCGGTTTCCGTATCATGTCATTTATTAACTATGACCTGACGATAAAATCAGCTATAATTAGTTAGTGTCAAGTCCCGTCATTATATATGTTCCTGCATGAATGTATAATACCGGTGTGGTAATAAGTTATATTGTTATTTTAGAATTGAATGCTTCTTTTTGTAAATTTATTAAATATTGGGGTGCAAAAGCATTGACCAAAGTACATTTGTATGAAGCGCAGAAGCGCTTCAATCTAAAAATGTGCGCACGGTCAACGCTTTTACAACCCTCTAAAATTACTAAAAGAAGCATTCAATACTTATAATCACATTTTTTTTCGCTGGGATCATGAAAACACGATTTCTATCAAGTTTTTCTTTCATTTACCTGTGCGCTTTATTGTGGAAGCTTGTGTCTTCATGAATGTTATATTTCATCTTGAAATGAAGGTTAATTTCAGAATGGCGCGAGATTGCTGTTAGCCAATTCAAATAACTTATTATACATGTTATAAATTGTAATGTAATTATAACAAAAACAAGTGTTGAGAAAGAACAATAAACATAAGTTCATAATATATTAATTAGAGTAGTTTAATAAAAAAAATATATATATAACACTTAAGATAAAAAGGGGGGTCCATGCCGCACCGCCTAGGAATGAAGATCAGTGTTGAAGTTGAGGAAAACAAGAAAAATGTTCCGAACGTATATACCACATCCTTCCCATTTTATGATGTTTCTCTAATGACACAATATTGACAGCGACTAATTCTGTAAACAGGGTAAATGTTATAATGAATATTCTTACACCCCTTTATTACCTGGCAGAATTATGTTTTCTGTTCAATCTTTACTGCAGGCACTGGTCACGTTTCCAAAAAGCAATGGGCAAGAGGCGTTCCGAATGTTGACTCTTCCGTCATTTCGGTGTGTTTGAGGGCATGAGGTTGAGGTTTCAGATTAGGCCTATCTATTCAATAGACTATTGTTACATAAAAAAAAAGAATAGATGAATATTTGAACAGAAAATAAACAAATGCAACTTCTCCATTTACCACTGTTTTTATTGAACAAATATAAGGTATTTTCCCATAGGCTTTTCACGCGATAACAAATCGAATATTGAACCGATATAAATTTCCGCTATGAAGAAACATTAAGAGAGGCTACCTTTTTCATTTTTAAAAACATCCTTTAAAGCTCGAATCGAATTTTGAAGTAGTCTATTTGAGAACATGGTTTATGTAAGGTTACTTGACTTCAGAAAATCAGAACATCGGATTCACATTGTGCACACGTTTTAATGTGAACCCTCCTGTACTTCAGTGCCGTGTGCTACTGTGTGCAATGTGAAAAGTCGTGAAGCCACATCACAATCGTAACACCCGTGCATATTCCCAAAGCACTAAAGACAACGTGTTATTAGTAAGTTTTATATTCCAAGCTACATTTCAAGACTAAACACAGTGAGATCAATGTTTTCCCACATAAATTATTTGTATCAGACACCTTTTTAAGTTGCCTATATTGGCTAAGGAAGGGCCTATTAGTATTAAAGTGTGATATTTGATATCAAAGGTCCACTTTTTGCAAGAAGGGAGAAATTTTATGTATCACATATTTTTTTTTCTATGTTTGGTCAATAAAAGGCTATATATCGATATATTATTAGTTGCACATTGTGCTAGTGACCTATTACTTCCTCTTTCATATATCAGAGTGTCTAAATTATTAGGAATAGTGTAACAATATGATTTATTACAAAATGTATATACTTAGTGATAAATACAGATAAATTGTATGTGTAACACGATCAACGACAATCGTGCTGTTACAGCCATCCGTGATGATATTGATTTCCCCTAATTTGTATGAAGTCGCGTCATCGATATCAGTCACGGTTGCAAAGGCTTTATCAAACCCCTAATCTGTATTACATCACATTACGTGAAAAACATCCTCTTGAGGTATATGATATGGCCTTTTCAATATCACACACTGTAACATCCCTCAACCAATATAATCCCTCAAGCAGAGCTCTTGGGATTTTATTGATGTCTTTAGGGTTGATATGGATGTGAAATTGAAAAAGTTGTATGATATTTTATATATATTATTAAGGGCATATGATACAGTTACAGGGGAGGTGATGACGTTGCTAAAATAAAATGTTATTTTCGCGACGTCAAACTGTGACCTATCAGGAAAAGATGCATTTTTATGATTCAGACGGATTTAACTTGAAAACGAGTTCATGGATCCCTCTTTTTTAAAACGACTTAAGGTTTTATAACGTATGAAGATTATTTATGAAAAAGTCACTGATGAAATTTTTCAAAATTAGATAAATATACAGCAAAAAATGCCGATTTTTTTCTTAAGTCATGAAACTTTGATAAAAATTGATTATTTCCAAAGAATTGTTATACAAATTCAGAGCATACTTATGTAAAGAAGATTTTCCAAATGTTTTACAAAAATCCGCTTGTGTTTATCTTTGAAACAAAAAAGTAAGGTATGTCTATATCAAAAGGAAAAAATCACCGTGTGATCAAAACTGTATCGTATGCCCTTAAGGTAGATCAGGTGTCTTCCGCCATCTTGGATTTTGAAATAGTCGGAAACAATTGGTCTAGATCTTTAATGAAATAGGCAAATTTCGCAAGAAGAATGTAATTCATTTGTAAAACTTTTCAACTAACTGAAGAAAATTATGTGTTTTATGATATTTTTACGACTGTTTCTTACAAATACAGTCGAACCTCGTTGTGTTGAACTCGGATGAGTCGAAGTAATTTCTCGTTCCCGGTAAAATTCAATGCATAATTTCCTCTGATGATTCGAACTCGGTTAAGTCGAGTAAATTTTATAGTCCCGTCGAAGTAAAATTAAAGTAAATTGACCCCGATGTCTCGTAATTCTATAGTAAGAATTTTCGAAAGATGCAGACCTAATGATAAAAATTCAAATCGGATGTATTTCTTATCTGCTTATGTAACCTAATTATTATCATTTTCAAAAGAAATTAAAGCTGAGTAAACATAAAACGACACATTTATGGTTACCGGTAATTAACACATTTGTTGATCGTCCAAGCGGAACGTTAGTGTGTTGAACATATTTCACCTGACATAAAAATGAAGTGAATTTAAATGACCCAAGCTGAGATTAAATGAATCTTTAGAATTAAAATTCATTAATTACAATAAATGAAAGGATTTAGACAATTATGATAAATTCATAATAATTTAATGTAAAGCAGACAACCTCATCAGAGACAGTTCAGAACTTGTTTCGTTCCGCGAGTGATTTCATAATTTATAGTGACCTTTGTAAATATTTGTGTATACTATTGATTTTATTAGTGCATGATTTTTATCCGTACTTGTGTGTTTTATTATTATGAAGGACCTAAAAATAATGAGATTGAATACACAATCATAAAGTGTCGTATCGAAAAAAAGGTGCACTGTTCAAAGTATCTAGTTTACACAAATCTCATACTGTATTTCATGCATTCCAAATTTATGACGACATACACGACCTCCCATGAGTCGAACCTCGGATAAGTCAAATACTTTGGTCTGGTCCCTTCAACTTCAACATAACGAGGTTCGACTGTACAGAATATTTTTTGTTTGATTCAATTTTTTTCAACTTTATCATTTAAGGGGAGATAACTCAGATAAAGTTACTTTTATACAGGAATGTAAATATGAATTTACATTTATTTGTTTTGTAGGCTTGTAGCGAGAAACCCAGTCCGGTGACCCCAATTTTTATTTTTATTTTCTGAAAGCACATTATAAGAGCTATCTTCTTATATTTGTCCCTCGTGAAACGTGTTGCAGGGGACATGGAAATACCGGGCATCCGTCTGTCCGGTCTTGTTAGCGCTCTCAGGTGTTAGTTCTTGTCAGATTTTTATGAAACTTATATCATAGGTTTATATCAACAATGTCTTGGACGAGTTTCGAAAATCAGTGCTGATCAATTATTTTTATACGCCCGTTTACGGGACGTTTTATGGTGTATACCTCTGTCCGTCCGTCTGTCCGTCCGTCGTCAACATGTTGGACATTAACTCAAAAACGCTTTAACCAATTTGCATAAATTTGGTGAATTGTTTATATCTATTGACGTTAACTCCCTTTCGTATTCTATAAATTTTAGATTTTACGTTTCCGAGTTATGGGGTTTTATTCATTAAAAAAAGGGGGATTTTCCAGTTTGCGGACAATAACTCAAGAATGCTTTCACCAACTTGCAAGAAATTGTGGTGAATTGTTTATATCTATTGACATGAGCTCCCTTTCGATTTTTATATATTTTAGATTTTACGTTTCCGAGTTACAGGGTTAAATTCATAAAAAAAGGGGATTTTCCAGTTTTCGGACAAAAAATCAAAAATATTTTCAGCAGTTCTTATGAAACTTTGGTGAATTGTTTATATCTATTGATGTAAGCTCCGTTTAGAATTTTATAAATTTTTCATTTATCATTTCTGAGTTATGGGGTTTTATTGTCTCGCCTGCGACGAAAGTCGCAGAAAGTGAGACATAGGTATTACTATCCGGCGGCGGCGGCGTAAACTATTTGTATAAAGCTTTATATTTCAGAAGGTAGAAGACCTGGATGCTTCATACTTTGTATGCTGATACCTTATGTTACGAACTTTCCGTCTGTCATATGTCCAATGTCCTTGACCTTATTTTCATGGTTCAGCGACTGCTTGAAAAAAAAGTTTAGTTTTTTTGTTATGTAAATTTCTCACTTATTATGAGTAATAGGATAACTATATTTGGTATATGGGTTCCTTGCAACGTCTACATGTCCATCAGACAGGGTTCACCTGACCTCAGCCTCATTTAATGGATCAGTGATCAAGGTTAAAGTTACGTGATTAGGTCTATTTCTCAGATACTACAAGCAGTAGGTCAGCTAAATGTGGTGTATGGAATGATTATAAGGGATACATGTCAGTCTGGCAGGTTTCATCTGACCTTGACCTCATTTTCACGGTTCATTGGTCAATGTTAAGTTTTTGTGTTTTGGTCTGTTTTTCTTATACTATAAGCCATTGGTCAACTATATTTGGTGTATGGAATGATTGTAAGGTGTACATGTCTGTCTGGCAGGTGTCATTTGTCCTTGACCTATTTTCATGGTTCATTGGTCAATGTTATTTTTTTTGTGTTTTGGTCTGTTTTTCTAATACTATAAGCAATAGGTCAACTATATTTGGTGTATGGAATGATTGTAAGGTGTACATGTCTGACTGGCAGGTGTCATTTGTCCTTGACCTCATTTTCATGGTTCATTGGTCAATGTTAAGTTTTTGTGTTTTGGTCTGTTTTTCTAATACTATAAGCAATAGGTCAACTATATTTGGTGTATGGAATGATTGTAAGGTGTACATGTCTGTCTGTCAGGTGTCATTTGTCCTTGACCTCATTTTCATGGTTCATTGGTCAATGTTAAGTTGCTCTTGTTTGGTCCTCTTCTCAGATACTATAAGTTATAGGTCAACTATATGTGGTGTATGGAATGATTGTAAGGTGTGCACGTCTGTCTGACAGGTTTCATCTGACCTTGAGCTTATTTTCATGGTTCATTGGTCAATGTTAAGTTTCTGTTGTTTGGTCTTCTTCTCAGATGCTATAAGTAATAGGTCAACTATATTTAGAATATAGCAAAGTACTCCGACCAATGAAATTGTAGGATTGGATGCCTCTTAATTGTGAAGAATGAATGTAAATCATGTTCTTAGTAAGGGATTATCCTATTATTTGGGTCTATTTACAGTTAAAAACAAAGAGTTTCTATAAATGAGTTACAACTGCCCCGAAGCACATTTATCAGATTGAAAGAATTTATCACAGAGTGATTGAAACTGACTAAAAGTTGAATTGTGAAACAAACAAAAATCTCAAAATAAGTTGAAGTTTACTGGTGCATGCAGTAAAATTGGTACCGTGAATGTTATTATGAAAATATTAATAACTTCAAATTACTATAAAATTAAACAATACCAAAGCAATGCAAAAAAAAGAAAAAAAATCTTTCAGATAAAAAATAACCTAAATATTTAGCTTTCCAACACTTTGATTACTTGATCAGCGGTTGGGGAGAATAGTTATTTCCAATACATGTATTCCGATAAAAGAAAACAGGAATTTAGTTTTGAACATATTAAAAACTTTTAAGGGCATTATTTTTGAACATTTCCCTGACATAATGAAACAGTATTTGATGTAAAAAGCCCGACCAAATTATTCGCTGTGAAATAAAATTTAGTTGTAACTCAAATGTATTAATTGATTTAAACTGTAAATAAAAAAAGGATAATTCCTCACTAAAATATTACATGATTTACATTCATACTCACAATCAGAAAACATACAATTCCTACCTTTTCCTTCTAC